CCTACTGAAACAGAGAAACCTGTGACTACCTTCAACATATTCTTACCCTAAAAGTATTAGTTATTTAATCAAACTAGGCCATTAAATATCAGGTCTTTAAACTTATTTGTACACAATACGGAATATCTAGAGATCAGTCTACCCTCTGATCAAAAAAAGAAAACTAAAAACAAAAAACCTCATATATTATCATTATAAAGCAATGGCAGAAACTTGCCTATTCTTTTTAATGGAATTAAATTTACTGGGGTGACAATGGTTAACACATTTCCAATGTACAATTCTATAATACATAATCTGTATACTGCATTGTGTGCTCACCACCCGAAGTCCTTTCATCATATATCTGGCCCCCTTTACCCTCTTCAACCACCCCCACCCCTCTTCCTCTCTGGTAACCACGATTCTGTTTGTGTCTATGAGTTTGTTTGCTTTGTTCATCTGCTGCTTTCTTAAACTTGTCCATTCTTGTTCTCTTCATGTAACATTTTTTTCTGTACACAATCCATATTCTGAATATGCTGTACATTCAAAGACTGGAAATTATTAGATTAGAAATTATAAATGATGCTATTGTGATTTGGTTTATTGTTATATACTTTTATGCACACTGATATGTTTAAATTTTCAAGATATTTGAGCATGTTAGTGGCCATCCCTATGTATGGCAATCCGCACAAAAAGCATGAATTTTAATCAATGCAATAGTTTTTACAGAGCTCCAAGAGGAGGAGAGATATCAAGAGACATCCCTGAGCTCAAGAAGCACAGGAATTCAGCCACAAAAAGGAATGAAATCCCATGCTACGACGTGGATGAACCTTAAAAACTTTGTGCTAAGTGAAATAAGACACAAAAGGACAAATATTGTATGATTCCAAGAATAGGCATATTCATTCAGACAGAAAGTAGACTAGAGGTTACTAGGAGCTGGGAGAAAGGAGAGTTATTGCTCAATGGTTACAGAGTTTCTGCTTGGGGTGACGAAAACATTTTGGAAAAAGTGGTGGTGATTGCACAACACTGAATGCACTCAATGCCACTGAACTGTACTCTTAAAAATGGTTAAAATGACTTAAACCTAAAAATCTAAAATTAAAAAAACTCCCAGAAGAAAACGTAGGGAAAAAGCTTCATAGTTTTGGACTTGGCAATGATTTCTTGGATGTAAAAGTACAAACAAATGGGACTACACCAAACTTAAAAACTACGTTTTTAAAGGACATAATCAACAAAGTGAAAAGGCAACTACCATATGAGAGAAAGTATTTGCAAATCATATATCTGATAAGGAGTTAACATTCACAATATATTAAAAACTACAACTCGGAAAAAAAAACAAATGTGATGAAAAAACGGTTAAAACTTGAATAGAGATTTTTACAATGATGATATTGGCCAACAAGCAGATGAAAAAATGTTCAACATTATTAATCAGAGAAATGTAAATCAAAACCACAGTATCTCTCTCTCTCACACACACACACACACACACACACACACACACACACACACACACACACACAAAGACATCACTCACACCCATTAGGATGGCTACAATTTTTAATTAAAAAAATAGAAAATAACAAATATTGGTGAGAATGTGGAAACACTTAAGCCCTTGTGTTGTTAGTGGGCTTGTAAAATGGTGTAACCACTATGGAAAACAGTATGACGGTTCCTCAAAAAATTAAAAATAGAACTACCATAAGATCCAGTAATCCCGTTTCTAGGTGTCTATCCAAAAGAACTGAAAGCAGGGTCTCAAAAAGATATTTACCTACTCACATTCACAGTGGCACTAATCAAAATGGCCAAAAAAGTGAAATAACTCAGGTCCATCGGTGGATGGATTAAACAAATTGTAGTACATACACACAAGATTATTATTTAGCCATTTAAAAGGAAATCCTGTTACATGCTACAAAGTGGATGAATCTTATACATTACACTAAGTGAAACAGCCAGTCACGAAAAGACAAATATTATCATGACTCCACTTACATGGTCAAATTCACAGAAACACAAAATAGAATGGTGATTATCAAAGGCTGGGGGGAGGTGAAAAAGGGAGCTGTTTAATAGGTATAAACTTTCAGATTTGCAAGATGAAAATTCTGTAGCTCTGTTTCCCAACAATGTTAATATACTTTACGCTACAGAACCATATATTCAAAAATAGTTAAGATGATAATTTTTTTGTATTTTACTACATAAAATGCGCAAATATAAAAAATGGTAAAGTGGCAAATTTTATTATATTTCATCGCGATTTTTAAAAATTAATAATGTAATATACCAAAAACCATTGAATTGTATATTATGTGAATTATATCTCAAAAAAGCTGTTTTTTTTGCTTTTGTTTTTTTGTTTTAAAAGACGGGGGCGGGGGGGAAGGACACAGAAATTTGTTGAGCAGAAAGGAGCCTAACGCTCCTACTTTCTCCATCTTCACCCTGGCCTCCAGGTGACAGCTCTTCTCTTTCCTCTCCAAGGCACATTACCACCTTTTAAACTTCCACTTCCTTATTAAGTCCAGCATCGTGATAAAATTAAGTTAAAGAAGCTGCAGTGGCAGTCACAGGAAAGGGCACGGAATTCAGAACTCATACTCTACATTCAGCAGCAGAGCCCAAATCTTTATTTAAAAAAAAAAAATATTAACACAGTAGATATACAATAAATGTTAGGTCTCTGCCCCTCCTCTCTTCCTCTTCCAGCCAGCATATGTTTAAAAGAGCAACTTCACTGCTCCTGCGCTGGGATATTCACTGGCCTTACCTCACATATGCTAGAGCTGTTAAATACAAAGCATCATTTATAACATGGTTGTTAAACCATGCCTATTGCCTATTATTAAATCTAAAAAACACATCATAAAACTGTTACAAGGATAAGCCCCTTTTGGTAAAATAATAAACATTTCTATAGCACATAAAAAGGATAAGATAAAGACCAAATATTAATAATCACCTTTAAGTGGTGAGACTAAGGGTGAGTTTCTTCCTTTTTGGCTTATCCATTTTTTTATAATGAATCTGTAACCTCTTTAGTAAGAAATATAGAAATCTTCCTAAAAATCATCAGGCTCAAAATCTCCCTATCTGCCTCTTACACTACAGGCACTTTCACATGCTACAGCACCAAAGCTGAATTAGCACCACGTGAGGTAGATACTATTTCCTCCATTTTGCAGATGAGCATAAACTGAGGCTCAGAACAGTGATTTGGTCAAAGTTATATAGCTAGTAACCGACAGAGCAAGGATTACAACCCAGGCCTTTTAACTTCAAGCTCAGGACCCTTTCTATTCCATCATATCTTAAAGGGCAATCTGCATTACTGCTCATAACACTGTTAAAAAAAAAAAAAAAATCTCTGATGAGACTGTTTTAAGAGCACTTCCTATGTAACCTTGGACCAAAGTCACTTTACTCTCTGGGGGCCTCAGTTTTTTCATCTGAAAAGTGAAGGGGTTGGAAAAGGTATTCTATCTCTAACAGCTCCACCTGCTAATGGATTTTAAGACCAGACACTACCTAGGAGATAATATCTAGAGAAGAAAACCCCAAGGGCAAGAATGAATGCTGGAAAGAAGTTGAGGCCTATGTTCTGGGCCAAGATTCATTCTTAATGGAAACAGGTGGAGGATAGTCAAGAAGGAAAAACCAATGGGGGAACCATAAACTTCCTGGTTAAAGCAACAGCTGAAAGCTCTAGATTCAATCTTGGCTAAATCATGATCAGAAACCACATATTATAAAGTTACAAGAACATTAACATTGACATGGGAGTGTGGGAGAACTATAATAGTTTATGCACGCTATAACTCCATCATTTTCCAAGTGGGCTCCTTAATGTTAAAACAGAAAGAGCCCTGGGTGATTCTAAGTGGAGACACCATCTCCAGCAAAAATTTCAGGAGAGGCTGAAACTTGCATAGCGCTCTAGGAGATACCGCACTTGAAAAGAGCCGACCGAACATTTGTGGAAAAGGTGAAAGAATGCAATAAAAGCCTCTCCAATCCACAAAGACAGTGAAAGCTTTTAAAAGGTGAAGTTCCTGTAAAGGATTCTTTGGGTATCTATAACCTCTTACACTGCAGACGTTACAGCAGCCCACGTTATTTAAAACTGTTATACAGCCTTTCTACTCGAAGGTAATAAAAGTACAGCAGTAACTGCTGACGAGAAAAAGATTCCATTTTGCTCAAACAGGCTCCGACCAAATTCTCACCACCTTCTCCTCAAATATGATGAGCCTTAACCAACGAGAAGCTCCTTAAAGCCTAAACAATAGTCTTAGACAATTTAAACAATATCCTGCCCGAAGGGCCACAACCAAAACAGCAGTAACTTTAAATTCAAAGGTAAGTACCTAACAGAAAGCTCTTCACTGTGCTCTCCGCGCTCCCGGGTGCGAGACTCCAGCCCTGCTTCTAGGCCATGACTGGGTGAACACCTGATGTAGGGGGGAGGGCGAGCCAAGGCCCTAGCTGATCTGGGGCGAGAAAGAGGGGCTCTCGAGGCTCCTGAAAAGCGCTGCGCCCCAGAGGCAGGGGGTCACCCACCCCCAGGGGTGAGCACCAAGAACACGTGGGGCAGGGAAGGGGTGTCCTGGGCAGGCAGCCTGGGTCTGGCACGGCGGCTGGAAAAAGAGGACAGGGCTACCCCTGGGTAGGGGACGAAGCCTTCTGGGCCCAAAGGGTGAAGGCAAAGGGCGCGGGGAGAAGGGAGCGAGACCACGAGGAGGGCGGGTCTCCCTGGCCGCAGGGGCACGCGCCGGGCAAGCGCGGCGGGGCCCGGGGACCAGCGAACCCCGACACGCGGGAGGAGATAGTGAACCTGCCCCCGGGGCGCGGGGAACGAGGAGCGGCCGCGCCCGGAGGGCCCTGTGCCCGGCGGCCTCCCGGACCAGACCCGCCCCGCGGCGCCTCCCTCCTGCCTTCTTTTCCTCCCTCCCACCCGCGGCCCGTTATCCCGCGGCCGCCCCACTCACCAGCGGCTGCACCTGAGCCCGCCGCTGCCTCAGCTGCTGCCTGAGCCTCCGCAGCCGCCGCCGCCGCCTCGCTGCTGAGGCCGAGTCCCGGGGGAGCCTCCGAGTCCCGCCGCCGCTGCCGCTGCCGCTGCCGCCAGAGCAGAACACCCCAAAATGGCGGCACTTCCGGCACCTACCACCGGCGGGGAGGGCCGAGGAGGAGGGGGAGGGCGGCGAAGGAGGAACGTACCACAGCGGTGCCGCCCGCAGCACGGATCAGAGCGGAGCGCGACGCAGGGGCGGGCCGAGCGCCCGGCGCTGCAGCGCCCCCTCGGGCTGGGGAGTGGAGAAGCAACCCGGCCGGAGCCCCCGGGGCCGTGGGCGGAACCCTCAGCCCTGGGAGCTGCGGGGGTTCATCTCTTTGTCTCCGAGCTCTCCTGGAGGGAAGGATGGGAGACCTTGGTCTGGGAATCTGAAGTTCTCGGCTCTGCACGCCTCGTCCAACAGAAACTCTGAATGACCTGGTGGGCAAGGACCCCTGCTTGGCACTGAATATGCGCATAATAAAATTTTTGTTGAATGAATGAATGAGTTCAATGGAATGGTGTTTGGCCCACGTTGAGCACCTGACACACCCTCCTTTCTGCCCTTGCAGAGGAGCAACAGGATCCAGGCCTTCTTCCATTGCTGAGATGTGGAATGTGAATATATTGCAAGCTTTCAGAATTAAGGGAGTGCTTTCTAGGAGGGTTGATCCGCTGTGTGAACGATCAACCTTGCAAAAATCCCTGCAGCGCCAGGAAGGGTTCTATTAAGAGAGAATCTTTACGGCCCAGACATAAACTGCTTTTCCTAGAAAAAAAAAATTTCTAAACAACTCAAGTTAGGACGCTAAAGATCTCCTTCAGAGTAACTCAGGAATCTCAGGATCTAGGTAGAATACAACAATTTGTTTTTTAAAAAGGCTAATAACATCATTTATTCAGCGGGTTCTACATCCTGTGGGACAGTGAAATACAGATGAAGAAAGAAGGCTTAGTTCTGGGACTTTTTTGGCCCCAGCAACATGCAAATAACTCATGGGTTTGCAAATGATTTCTCTGTAACATCATTTGGCTTCCCAAAGCAAATAATTTTCATACCCGCAAATACAGATTATACCCTACCTTACCACAAAAAAAAAAAAAACAAGTGGACTCCCAAGCAGAAGCCTCAAGGGTTTTCTCATGTGTTGGAAGCACCTCTTCTCTCCCTAAGAGGAAAAAAACTAACCATAGTTTTTCTGGTAACATAGACCAGAACAGTTAGACTCTAAGTTGCACACTATTGTATGCCCTAATCGTACTGTGTAGTTTATCATTTTATATATTTATTGTGCTGAGATATGATCTTAATAGTTTTATGTGTAATTTACTAAAAACATTCTATATTTTAGACCATTATAGCTTATAAAGTGTCAGATACATTACTGCAATTAATTTTATATTTGTCTCCCAGCTATCATAGATTGTAGAAACCTTTTAAGCAGAGAATCTGTCTCATTCTTTTGTGAACCATAGAATCGTCCAGATATCCATATAGTTCACTTCCTCACCTTCTTTGGGTCTTGACTTAACTGTCACTTTCTCAGTAGGGCCTTCTCAGACCACCCTATTTAAATTTATACACATATACATCCATGCTTTCAATCTCCCTTTCCTGTTTTGTTTTTATCCAAAGCATTTATCACCATCTTAACATGGTATATTTTGTACTTCATATTTTACTTATTTTATTTGTAGTCTTCCCTACCAGGAAATAAACTCTGTGGGAATAGGGATTTTGTCTGTTTGATATCCTCAGGGCCTAAAATAATGCCTGACCCATAGTAAGTGCTCAATAAATATTGTTTTTTTTTATTTGATTTATATATATTGTGAAACGATTACCACAGTAAGTTTAGTTAACATCCATTATCTCGTACAGATATGAAAGAAAAAAAGATGATATTTTCTCGAAATGAGAACTCTTGGGATCTTTTCTCTTAACTTTCAAATATCCCATACAGCAATGTTAAGTCATCACATTGATACAATTCACCTTTTCGTCCACCTTCGCCCAATTCCTCTCCCGCCCCATCATAAATATTGTTGAATTAATGAATAGGCATAGCTAGGTGCTGGGTATGAAAATAGAGAATGAATTGTTTAGTCTTCAAAAGCTTCTTGGAAGCTGTCCATGAACTAAATGAGAGAGAGATCATGCCTGTCTTGTTATTCTCTTGTCTGACCAGTGTTTTTCACAGTGTCTGGCTCCACATATGTTTCTCAAAAGGCACCCAAAAACTTTTCTTATTTTATCTGCCTTGATTTAGAGCTCTCGTGGGCAGAGAGGAACTGCCACTTCTTGCAGGGTCACTTTCACATCTAGGTACCTAGGAAGGTCACAGGCCCAAAGCTGGGGTAAGAACAATGACATGAAGAATGCCAATGGGCTCTTATAACTTCAAAGGACTCCACAGCATAGACAAAAATACTAAAGAATCCAAGTACAAAAAAGCCAAATGTGAGATGTAAACAAGTATTAAAAACTTCCTGTTTTGTTTTTGCCTTCCTAATTGATTAAGATTTGTTTTTTAAAACAGCCAATGATAGCAAAGATGCAGAGAAACAAGTCCTCTCCAAGTGCTGGTGGAAATGAAATTCAAATAGTCTGTCTGAACGAATTTGAAATTTTACATGCCTTTCTAGGAACTTATCTTAAAGAAAGAAATAACCATAGATGCAGAGATGTACTGATGTATGTGGTTCATAACATTGTTGAAATGCATAAAATTTAATACAAAAGGAGATTGATAAAGTATATGTTCATAGCATAGAATATGATAATTTCAAATAATGATACAGAAAAATATTAAATTGTGGGAAAATGTTAACATAATACATGCTTAATGAATAAGCAGGTAACAAATTAATAGGTACAATATGATCCCTACTTTGTTAGAGAGTGTGTTTGTTGGGAAAGACAAAACTCACAAAGAATATTGATTAAAGTGATAACAGTGCTCTGCATCCTCACCACCACTTGATATTATCAATCCTTTCAAGTTTAATCATTTTGGTAGGGGTGTAGTGGTATTTGCGGTTTAAATTTCTATTTCCCTAATGGCTAGTGATGTCAAGAAACCTTCCACATATAATGTTTATTGACCGTTTGGATATTCTCTTTTGTGAATTGCCTAATCGAGCTTCACCCCACCCCTTTCTCATTCTCGCTCTCGCTCTCGCTCTCTCACTCTCTTGCTCTCTCCCTATCTCTGATCTGCAGGAGGAGTTCTTTATATATTTTAAGTACAAGTTCCTTGTTGGGCACTCTTTTCCCAGTCTGTGGCTTGTCTTTTACCCTCTTAATGGTTTCTTTTGATAAACAAAAAATTTTAATTTTACTAAGACCTTATTTATTAGTCCTTATTTTATGATTGGTTATTTTCATGTTCTATTTTAGAAATCTATGTTTACTCGGATTGGGAACATTGTCTTCTTCATTTTTAACCTTTCACATTTAGATCTAGAATCTATCTCTAATTTTTGTATATGGTGTGAGATAAGGGTCAATTTTCTTTTCTTTTCCTTTCCAGTTGATCCATCATCATTTGAGAAGACCATCTTTTCCCTCCTGAGATGGGCAGTGAAGCCTTTTTTTTAAATTCTCATATATTGTCAGTAGGAATGAGAATTGATACAACCATTTTGGAATACCGACTGTATCTACTAAATCCAAACAGCTAAATGATTTGTGCCGTATGATGCAGCAATTCTACTCCCAACAGAAATTACGAACTTATTTCCACCAAATGGTTTTTAGCACTCTTAATAATAGACCAAACTGTAAATGATAAATTATGAAGCATATTTATAATGGACTACATATATAGTGATGAAAAGGAACAAACTGCTACGACATAAAACAACATGGATGAATTCACAGACATAACAGGGAGCACAAGAAGCCGGAAAAAAAAAGAGCGTATATTGTATGAGTCTATTTAATTGAAGTTTGAGAACAGGCAAAAACAATAAGAAAAGTCAGAAAAATGGTTAACTTGGCCAGGGAGATGGGATTGACTGACTGGAGCGAGCAAAAGAGAGCTTTCTGGAGAACAGAATGTTTTATATCAGTCTGGGTGGTGGTCACATGAGTGTATAGATATGTAAAATTTATCAAGCTATACACTTAGAATTTGTGCACTTTCTATGGCCGAGAAGAATAACAACAATCAAGCCATTAGACAAATGGGTAAAGGAAATGAACATGCAATTCTTAGGAAGAATAGGAATGGCCAGTAAACATAAGATGTTCAATCTCAGCTCACAAATAATTAAAGATATTCAAATTAAAATGTGGATTTATTTTTTACTATGATTGGGGAAAAAATTAAGTATTTAAATTTTATTGATAAAATTGTAAGAAACAGGCACTCTCAATGTATACAGACATAGCCATAGGGGAGGGAAATTTAACAGAAGTCATTAAAATTATAAATATTCACATCTTTTATATAAAATTCTAGAAAATGTTAATTCATCTGTAGTGGATCAGTGGTTGTCAGGGATTGGGATATGGAAATAAAAAGGCGTGAGAGGAAAAGGTTACATAGGAGTTGCAGCCGGTACAGAATTTCAGTTTGGAAAGGTAAAAGAAGTTCTGGAGATGGATGATGGTGATGGCTTAACAACATAGTGAATGTACTTATTGCCAATGAACTGTACACTTAAAATGGTTAAAATGGCATATTTTATAACAAGAATATCTTACTACGATATTGTAGTAAGTTGCAACTGACTAATGCATACATATTAGTTAGGTTAAACTACTGTAAAATTAGACTTAAAAGAAATAGCCGAAATAAAATAGAAGTTTCTCTCTCCTCTAATAGACTAGGATACATGCTCCTAGTTATTGGGAGGATGAAGAAAGGGAGCTTCTACTCGAAGTAATTATTTAGTGACCCAGGACAACATTTAGTAAAAAAAATCATGATACAAAAATTTGATCAACATGGTTACAATGATTTTTTAGAGAACGGTACACATAGACCATAGCGTTATCATATGACCCAACAATTCCACTCTTAGGTAGATATTTAAGAGAAATGAAAACATATGTCCACACAAAAACTTGAATACAAATGTTCACAGCAGCATTATTCAAAATAGACAAAAAGTAGAAACATCCCAAGTGTCTATGAACTGATAAATGGAGAAGCAAAATGTAGTATATTCATACAATGGAATATCATTTGGCAATAAAAAGAAATACAGTACTGATACATGCTACGACATGGATGAATCTTGAAAACTTGCCAAGTAAAAGAAGCCAGACACAAATGACACATATTGTATGATCCCATTTATTTGAAATGTTCAGAACAGGCAAATCTATAGAAACAGAAAAATAAATTGGTGGCTGCCTAGGGCTAGTGGGTTGCAGGGAAATGGAGAGTGAGTACTAATGGGAATTGGGTTTCTTTGGGGGATGATGAAAATGTTCTAAAATCGATTGTGGTGATGGTCGTACAACTCTGTGACTATACTAAAAACCATTGAACAGAACACCTTAAACGGGTGAATTGTATGGTATCTCAATAAAGCTATTATTAAAAAATTTAATGGTACACATAGAAAACAAAGTTGGAGGAAAAAATAAATAATATATTTGAGGTGTTAGGATTATGGGTGATTAAAGTAAAATTTTACTTTCCAGTTGTTGCGGTATGTATTTTACAAGAATAGACCTGTTTTAAAAGAGCCAGATGCATATTTCAGACTATTTAAATGCAAATAAACAACATTACAACTATCCCTCTTACCTCTTTGTGGGTCGTGGGTTTTATATTTAAGCTGATATTTTTCTTAATGATGTAGTATTTTTTAATTTTATTTTTAGGCGAGGCAACCCTTGGTTGATCTTACAGATTGCAAGGACCTTGTCAGTTTACAATCTCTTATTTTATTTTATTTTTACTCCTAAAGCATCTGGTATTCCTAGGTAGTCTCCCATTCGAGTAGTAACCAGGCCCGACCCTGCTTAGCTTCGAGATCAGACAGAATGGGGCTGGTTCAGGGTAGGACGGCCGTAGACTCTTAATGATATATTAATGTATTTTCATGATATATTGAAGACATTACATTTTGTCATAGTACATGCATATGCTGTGGTTTGGTCAGGAGGAGGAGGGAGCCATGACTTTAGGCAGATGGCGGTGCGGGCAGTGGGAGGGTCTCCGTCAACCTAGTTTCACTGTTTGCCCGGGATCAGGCCTTCGCTACCAAGGTGGCCCCTCTGCTTAAAAGCTCAAGGCCCCTTTCACCTGCCCCTTCAGGGTTACTCCACCCTTAGAGGCTCGTCCAGGTCTTGTCTTCTCCTCTGGGGGAGGGAGTCACAGCCCCCTCTCGAGGGAGTGGGGGTCACAGGCCGCAGACAGGGGTCACAGTGTCACACGCAGCAGTCACGGGCCTCTAGCCTAGGACGCGCCCCGCCTGGGCCGGGGTCCTGGTTTCCCTCCTCGGAGGCCTTGGTCCCTCCCCCGAGGTCGGCGGCCCCTCCCTCCAGAACCATGCCGCGGGGCCCAGCACCCCCACGCTCTAACAAGGAGTCCCCGAGGGCCCGGCCAGAGGTCCCAGAGCCCGAAGGGCCTGCGCCGATCGCGTCGCAGCCCGCGTTCTCTTCGTCCTCCTTGCCCTCCTCCCGGCCCC